AAAATAAAAATAAATGGTGCCTTCAAAATGACAGTGTTCAATTCTTCTCTAACCACCCCTCCCAGATCTAGTGTCTTCACACCAGATGCATGAGTATTATCAGTTTGAACAGTCTTACAGATCATCCAACAAACTCCTTAGGTATTGGCACATGTAGTTTTAAGCCTGTGTAATATGGTTTTTATATCTCTTTTTACATGGTTTTATGCTGTGTAAATTATTGGACCCTTCTCTGTTTTACTTAAAAATTTCTGAGGTTGGCCGGGAATTTAGCTCAGGGCTTCCATGCCATGCCTTGCAGGCAAGGTCCTGAGTTCAATCCCCAGTATCAAAAAAAAAAAAAAATTTCTGAGCTTTACTCATTGGAGATATCATATATATGTATATGTATGAGTCTAGCTTATTCCTTTGTACTGAAGTATAGGATTCAATCATATCTACACTACATTTTGTCTACTTCCTTTATGACAGACATTCACATGACATCTAATTTCTTTTTTTGCCGGGGGTGGGGTGGGTAACCTGAGATTGAACTCAGGACCTTGCTCTTGCAAGGCAGGCGGCGGCACCACTGAGCTATCTAGTTTCTTTTAATTACAAACAAGAACACAGTACTTGTAAAATTTACGTTCCTTGTATATGACAACTTCATCCTAATATGTGAGTGTTTCTCTAGGTGGAATTTTTAAATGTTAGGTTGTTGAGATCTTATTTGTATACAATAAAAATTACCCTTCTTTGTAAATAAACAAATAAATAAAATAAATGGTGCCTTCTTGCTAAAAAAAAAAAAAAAAGGAGAAATATGTATTGGTTTGTAGCCATGTGTGTACAGAGTATTCATGATTTTTCTTCTATTTGGTATGGTGAAGTACCCCAGGCAAGTAGAGCTGGATGTGAATGTCTATGTTTTATGTACACATGAATAACATTTTTTCCAGTGCTAGAAATCAAACCCAGGGGTACTCTACCACTGAACTATATCCCCAGCCTTTATTTTTTTGAGCCAGGGTCTCAATACATTGCCCAGGTTGTGCTCAAACTTGTGAGCCTTCTTCCTCAGCCTTCTGAGTAGCTGGGATTACAGACGTTCGCAGGGCCGGAGGTTTAGCTCAGTGGTTTCGCCGCCTGCTGCGCAAGCGCAAGAGCCCGAGTTCGATCCCCGGTACCAAATAAATAAATAAAATGGCATGATTACTTTGGGCTGGGGATTTAGCTCAGTAGTTTCACCGCCTGCTATGCAAGCGCAAGGATCCGAGTTCGATCCCCGGTACCAAATAAATAAATAAAATGGCATGATTACTTTGGGCTGGGGATTTAGCTCAGTAGTTTCACCGCCTGCTATGCAAGCGCAAGGATCCGAGTTCGATGCCCGGTACCAAAAAAAATAAGACTAAATAAAAAGAGATTAACCATCACAGACGTTCCCCACTGCACCCAGCTATTTTATGTGTGTACATTATTCATATTTACACTGTCATGTATATGCTTGTGTATGTTCCATCACTATAACTTAGGTGTGCATAAAGGTAAATACCAAGGGGGTCTACTGTTGGGGAGGAGGTTATGCGGGTCTCAGCCAGCACTGATGACCTTAGAGCCCTCTCCAAACCTTTCGGGTCCCTGTCCTGAGTCCTCTCGTGGGCTTTTAACGGGGCCCTCACTTGGTGGGATGCACAGTAGCCAAGCCTCCCTGTGCTGACACCATGGCGTTCTCCTATTTACTCATCGTGGAGGGATGAAAAGGCCAACAAGCCACGCGGGCCAAGATCACACCCACTCAGGCCACATTCTGTCTCCGACCGGCCCCTGACGACGAGCCACCGTGTTGCACTGTGACTGGGAGCGGTTCCTTGCGCTCCGTGTCTCAGTTTCCTTGTGGGTAATTAAAGAGTTTCCGGGAACTAAAACGCAGTTGGGGGCGGCCAGGCGGCTCCCGGAGTCGCCGTGTTCTCTTCTTTCTGCCAACCATCAAGACAGGGAGAGGAGCCCCAGGTGACACTAGGAACCCTGTAGCCTGAGGCGGTCTCTAGCGCCCCAGGGCCCACAGCCCGCCCTCCCGCAGCACCCAGCACCATCCAGCACCCACTCACCATGGTGCCGGTGTAGGCGCCGCCCTGGGCCCGCGCGACCCCAGTACCGGCAGCTTCTCAGCCTCTGACCAGGCCGACCCTCGCGGGAACTGAAGATTGGAATTGTTGCTAGCTGTGGGAAGGATAATTGGAAGGGACCGGAAGTGATCGTGAGCATGGGAGGACCGGAAGTAATGAGACGGAAGTGGATGGAGGAACTGGGAGGGGAAGGAATTGGCTTTTCTCTTCTGAGCATCTTTTGTGCGCTTCCGTACTGGAGAGAGTGAGGGAGTGTTGGCGAAATCACTCTCGTTTTGGGGCACCGGAGCTGGACACGTTAATTGTTGGCACTGCGCAAGCGGGCGACGCCGCGTTGTGTTGTGTGGAAGGCTCTGTGGGGTTATGGTCGCTTCTTTCCTGATCCCACCGGCCCCTTTCTGGGCTCTTCTGTGGAAGCAGATATCCCCTTCTGGAAATTACCCGTCATTATTTTCCTGAACGAGCTGAGTCTTCACAGCCCCCTGGGTCCCTGAACCAGATCGTTCCCCGCCTGCGAAAATGGGGAATGGTGGTCCCAGCAGCTGCAGAGTGGAGCTCGGCACCGACAGTGGGCGCTGCGGCTCCCGCGGCCTTGATCAGGCGTGTCTGTCTCCAGGGGCTCAAGCCAGCGGGGCTCTGCCATTTACTTGGGGCCTGTGCTCTTTCTGACCTCTTCTGGAACCCTGGAGAGCTGCACAGTCCTTGAGGTTACCCTCTCTAAAATAAGGATTTTAATAGCCCAGCCTGATAGTGCATGCCTGTAATCCCAGTACCCTAGGAGGCTTAGCCACAACAATCACAAATCAGAGCCCTGCTTGGCCAATTTAACGAGACCCTGCCTTAAAAAAAATTTTTTTAAGGGCCGCAGATATAGCTGTCTGAAGGCACCGGGTTCAATACCTACTGCCACAAAATAACAACAAATAAAAGGATTTAAAGCCCAGGGAAGAAACACCCACTTGCTTGGGGAAGGAGTGTGGTTAGTGATGTGTCTCCCAGAGAGAGAGAGAGAGGTAGTGTGATGGGGATATCGCTGGAACCAGAAAGATGCTTAGACAAGGACCAGGAGGACAGGGGAGCTGATTACCCCATTTCTCTAGGTAGAGTGACAGAATTTGTCCTACTGGATTTTGAAGATGTCACACCAGAAGCTGCCATCAGCACTTTCAGGACTAAGGAGCTGATTTGGCTACATGACATCATAGGTTGATGGGTGAGACTGTTAGCTCACCACTCAGTTTTCAGTTAGACAAATCAATAAATTGCCTTTAGTGCCAAAGCCAGTGACTTAGGTCTACTGGTACTTCAAAGAGAGCGTTCTGATGCCATTCTCCTGTTGCAGTCAGTTCAGTGGCCTTCCTTTATCTGTTCACATTGATGGAGCCTCTGTGCCTGCAGCAGTTTTGCTCACAGCACCCTTCCTCCAACCCCTCAAGTCACTGATCTACCTGTGCCATGCCTATTTCATAGCCACAATTTTTTTTCTTTTGGTACCGGCAATTGATCTCAGGACCTTGCACTTGCCAGACAGGCGTGGCGCCACTGAGGTAAATCCCTGGCCCCAACAATGCCTATTTGAAAGGTTGTCCAGCTTGGAGTCCTAACTTGACTCGACCACTTATTAGCTCTGTGGGTTTAGGTATCTTCTCTGTGTAACTTTTCTTGTTGTGAGTTGGTAGAATAGTATTTACCTTTTTTCAGTTCTGGTTTATCCTCTTCTGTGGAATTGGAACATTTGCCTTACAGTGCTGTTATTTTAAAGGAAACACTGCATAAAAAATGATCAGATTAAAGTTCTCAATAATGATTTCAAAAACAAAAATTTCTAGGGCTGGGGATTTAGCTCAGTGGTTCCGGTGCCTGCCTCGAAAGCGCAAGGTCCGGAGTTTGATCCCCGGTGCCAAAAAAAAAAAAATTTTTTTTTCCATGCTGTACAATCAGATTTATAACTAGGCCTTATCTAACCCCTAGGTAAAGGCAGTTGGTCAGGCTCAGGACCTTAGAGGACTTTATCAAAGCTCTACTGGCCTTTCAACTACCAGACAAGATCTATAGCCTCTGTTTGTGTCCAACTTTTTTTTTTAATCTCTTCCACCCACTCCATCCCTGGCAGAGGTCTGGGGTGTAAGATTTGATGGCTGAACAGCAGGGCATGGTGTCCCATCTCTGCGATCCCAACACTTGGGAGGCTAAGGCAGAAAGATCACCAGTTCAAGGGCAGCCTGGACTACATAGCAAGACCCTGTCTCAAAAAAACCAATGAATGAATGAATGAATATATAAGCTTCTCAGCAGCCCTGGTGGTGCATGCACGTAACCCCAGCATTTGGGAGGCTGAGGCAGGATTGCTGTGAGTTCAAACCCAGCCTGAACTACAAGTGTGACCTAACCTCCAAAAAAACAAGAGCTTCTAGTGCCAGATATGATAGCACATACATGTAACCCGAGTTACTGGAGAGGCTGAAGCAGAAATATTTGGACTTTGAGGCCAGCCAGGGCAATTTAGACCCTGTCTTAACCTGCTCCTGCCCACTTGAACCACTAGTGCTACATACATGACTGCCCCATAGGCTTGAACTACCTAATAGGACTGTCCCATGCCATCCCATGCATGTACCACTGATGCTTCAAGTCGGTGGGAACCTAACACATTCAAATCAGAACCACCCAGCAGCGAGACAAAGGAATCATGGCCCCATTATGAACGTGTTAAAAGGTGGGGAGCTGGGGTTTGGGGTTATCACTCAGTAGTAACTATGAGCTATGCATGGCGGGGGGAGTGCTGGGTTCAATCTTCAGTATTACCAAAAGGAAAGAAAAAAAGTGCTGCTGGTAGGATTCAGAATTGAGGAACATGTTTTTGGAAAATGAAGAGCAGTGGACCTTTATATAATGTTAGAAACTTAAAACTTGGCTCAAATATGTCCTGCAGTTAAGTGGAAAACAAAACTTGAGAGTGAATTTGGATATTCAGCTGAAGCAGTGTTCAGCTTTCCTCACCATTCCTATAGAAAATGCAATGCTAAACAGATAAATTCAGGGAAGAACTGATAAAAGGGAGTAAGGACTTGGTTTGGGAAATTCTCTGCCTATCACTATTGCAAAGATGCTAAAACTAGGAGATTCTCTATCATGTGCTCTGGGTGACACTGGGCTGTTTTCTAGATTCAAAAGGATTAAAAAGTCAGATATTTGAGGAATTGGAAATGAAGCTCCATGGCAGAATTCCTGCCTAGCATGCTGAGTCAAAAAAAAAAAAAGGACTTGAAAGAGACTAGGTATTCATGTCTCCCCACAAACACTGTCAACAGAAGCCAGGGATAGAGGTGAGATTATCCCATTACTATCTATGGAAAGGCCACCTGTCTAATAGAATTCCCATAATAGAGGAGGAGCAAGCCCCACAAGGCTGAGTTTTGTGGGGTTTTTGTACCGGGGATGGAACTCAGGTCCTTGTGCTTGCACAGCAGGCGGTGGAACTACTGAGCTAAATCTCCGGCCCATGGCTGAGATTTTTACCCCAGAAGAAACACTGCCAACATGGACTGTGAGGGAGAAGACACAATGGAAGGAAAATAACTCAGCTGTAAATATGTGCTGCCCTTCAGGAAAAACCACGGGGCCATGGAAAGATGCTTGAATCTGGACATACACTCAGACCTTGAAGTCTCATGTGCTTGTGCAGCTGGGTTTACCCTTCAGTGCTGGGGATGCTATGCAACTACTTGACCACTGAGCTACATCCCCAGCCCTCAGCAGGATTTTGACCAATAAACTTTTTCCTTCCCGTTTTCTTTTGGGAGGGGGGGGGTGTTTACTGGGGATCGAACTCAGGACCTTGCGACCTTGTGCTTGTGAGGCAGGCAGCAGAACCACTGAGCTAAATCCCAGGCCCCTCTTTTTTGCCCTTTTTTTTTTTTTTTTTTTTTTTTTTTTTTTTGGTACCAGGGATTGAACTCGGGTCCTTGTGCTTGCGCAGCAGGCAGCAAAACCACTGAGCTAAATCCCTGGCCCTTTTTCGCCCATTTTTAAGAGAATGTCAATTACAAGTATCTTGTGCCTATCCTATTGAATTGTGTGGCGCAAGGACTGTGATGAGGCTTTACATTTTGATACTCTGGGTGATGTGGGGATGGACCAAATGCATTTTCTGCATGAAACAGGTAGTAATCTTTAGTGACCAGGATCAGAAAGGTAGACAGAATGGCTTCCTAAGGATGTACACTGCCTGATGCCCAAACCTGCCTATGACTAGTCACCCTATACTGCAAAAAGACTGTTATAGCATCTAGACCCGGGCATGGTCATGCACACCTGTCATTCCAGTCCTCTGAGAGGCTGAGGCAGGAGGACTGCAAGTCTGACCTATTTAGAGAGACCCTACCTCAAAAACTAAAAAAAAAAGGGGGGGGGTTGGAGATGAAGCTAAATATGAAAGTCCTAGGTTCAATTCCCATACTACCAAATAACAACAACAACACATGGGAGGCTAAGGTGGGAGGACTGCATGAGCTTGAGGCCAGCCTGAACTACATAGCAAGAGCCTATCTCATGAGGGTGGTGGGGGGAAGCCAGGCAGCCAGGTGTGGTGGTACACACCTGTAATCCCAGCACTCAGGAAGCTGAGGGAGGAGGATGAGAGACCTGGTCTCCAAAAAAGAAAAAAGAAAAAAGAAAATACATTATGCCAAGTTTAAGCAGCAGACCACTCCCTAAATGCATCAGTCTTAAGGGACATAAGATCCAATTGATAAGAGATTCCCAAGTACCTATTCCAACCTCCCCACCCCACTAGGGACTTGTGTGCTCTAACTCAGCTCCCTACTACACAGCCCTTTCACTTCCACAGCTGATAACCTTCACTCATTTCTCTGCTGTCTGCCTGCTTTCAGAGGCCTGAGCTAGTGGCCACATGTTTAAAGGTATTCCTAAACTGGTTCAACCAGGCCTACTTCTAACTTGCCAAATACACTGAGAACTACTCGTCTCAGGCGGCCTGGGAAGAACCTACTGGCACTGTAGGAAGCATCTGAATAAAAAGCATAGAGGTACCATTTATTATTCTAAGTGCTAGGCCCTTTACCAAGAGCTCACATAACCCTTCCTAGAAGTGACTTGCACTTTACAGA